CCCCTCCCTCCTGCCCCCTCCCAAAAGCTCCCTCTGATCCTCGGCGAGCCGCCGCCACGAGCGCGCCGCGCGACCCCTGATTTGTGCGATATTCCCGTCAGAAACTCTCCTCGGGTCCGGCCGCCTCTCCCAGCCCAGGGAGAGAGGGAGAGGAGCTTCAGGGATCGCCCTGAGACGCTGTAAATAATCGTTAGTGCTAGCGCCAGCACGGCCGCTATTGAGAAATACACCGCCGGAGGCGCCGCGGTGGACACGGCCGGGGCGTCATGCAAACAGCAGTGGGCCGGCGGCAGCCGCCGCGGGCCCGGGGGACACTCTCAGGGGGAGCAACTCGGGGGGCGGCAGGGGGCTCTTGGCACAAAAATCGCATTAAAATGTCAGCTGTAAGGACAGTGCTGTGGCGGGCGAGCGCCGGAGAGACGGGGAGAGGGAGCGTCGTCGTACAACTCAAGGAAAAGTGAGGCAAGTATTGCTGGTGCTCACCCTCCTCAGCCTCCGGCGGCGGCGGCTCCGGGGCGGGCGACGTCGCCGTCCCTCTCGGCCCTTGTTATCTGTCGCTCTATCGGGCCGAGGCGGCGGCGCGGCCCGGGCCAGCTGGAGCGGGGGCGTGGCGCGCAGGGGCGGCCCGCCCGGGCCGGCCGGGGTGTTCACTTCCCCAAAGTCCTCGATGTCAGCACAGCAAGCGGCATGCGCGCGCTCTTCTCATCAAATGAGAGGCGTCCCGCGCCCTGGGCCTGCTGGGTGGTGGGTGGCTCGTGTCCAGCAGTTCCGGGGCGGCGTGCCCGGCGCGGACGTGCCTCCAGACAGCATGCGCATCCCGCGCGCCACCAGCAGCCGCTGTTTGCTTACGGACATGGACAAAATATTTCGTCATAACAACACACTTGTGTTGATACTTTAGCCTAAAGCACAGCGAAGAACTTCTTTTCTTCCAGGTACGGATTATTTTCTGTATGGACATTGATAAGTTACCATGATATAGAATAGTGATTTTAGTTTTGTTGTTCCCCGCATTCGTCTTCTTTTCAGCTTTACCAAAATGCTTATGCATATTACCAACGTAGTCGTTCGTTACCCAAACAAGGTGTTGCTACAAAATCTTTCAACATTAACATTAAGGTGGATTCAGAGTTCACAAGATGCGAGCGTGATTTTCACGCCGCTAGCGTGAAAAGAGTTGTTTTGGTTAGCAGTTGACTTTATGCAACAGCCAATAACAGGCCGACGTGGGGCTATGCCAGTATTTTCAGCTGAATCAGCTTTGGAGCTAGCGTGATTTTCACGCAAGCGTCTGCTAGCAGCGTGATTTTCACGCAAGTTCGAAGGGGCACTTGGGAGATATTCGAGAATGTGCACTTTCGAACTTGCTTGAAAATCACGCTGCTAGCAGACGCCTGCGTGAAAATCACGCTGCTAGC